TTTGACTTTAGATTTTATATTAAAACTCAAAACATGTTTTAAAAGAATTATATACTTTAAAGTTACTAGATGGAATAAAAAAAGTGTGTGTTTTGATCGGTAGTCTCCATTTGAAATAAATGTTAATAAAACCAGCAGTATTATTACATCACTTTCAAAGGTTCATAGACTTTATAAGAAGCCTTGTGTATGTCCAGGAGACATAATCGCTAATAACTTTGACAAACTAACATTGACAATTGAAAAAATTGTTATTATTAAGATCTTTTTAACGCCGATTTTCTATATTTGTTCTATTCTAATCCACATTAATATCAGATTAAGGAACATGGATAATACTAATATTAATAACCGTAATTTGTTATATTCATATTATTAGTATTAGATATCTAACATTTCAGAACACTATTCATGGCTTTATATTTGAGGTCTTAATTACAAGATATTTCGATCTCATTTAGAATAATTCGGGCGTTTATGACCGCTATGAACATACATCACATATACTAGAATATATAGATATGCTGATCTACGGTCCGTCATCAGTTAAAAGATAAATAAATGATAATAATTCTAGTATAGTTAAAGCTTAGTGTGGGGCAGCGATAAGCCCCCAGCCACAAAAGAGTAAAAGTGCGCAATAGCACTAACTCAAACCACTACAACAACAACTAGAATAGTAATATATTCTGAATAAAATACAATAGAGACTTATATAGAGACTTATGTAAATATATTTTAATGAATATAATCCACATATATAAGACGGAATTGATGAGACATAACAATAACATTTAAACACGATACTTTTAAAACTGTAGGATATATACATATACATATATAACATCCAATAAGGCAGTCTTTTTAAAAATGCAGTTTTTTAACTGATACCGATTAAAATACTTCTTTTGAAATATTTGTCAATTTGTTTGTCAAATTATAAATATGTTTCTTGTTAGCAATTATGGTTTTATTCATTAAGTGTTAATTTTGTTTTTAATACATAAATTCATTACAAAATTAGTACTAATTTAGTAAATACTGACTCTGTTGCATTAGTAAACTTTTGGAATAATAAACCTCGACATCATTCTTAAGTAATGTAACCAAAAATTGATTGTGCAATAGAATCCGAAACGTCCTTGAGCCGCAAGTAGTTAGACGGAGCAACTAAACCAGCTTCACCAGATCTGGCTATGTTTAATACAAACTTTAGTGATTTGATACTCGAATGGAAAAGTATTCGAATGAATGTTGATAGGAAAATTCTCATATACAAGCGAACATCTACTTAAACAAGTACCAGAGCATATCGCACACTAAAGACTCTAGCGAATGGTTTGAGGTTTTGCAATGTCTACTGGAAATGCCTTAATAGATTCTAATATGTACGACCCACCAATAAAATTGGTTACAAGTAAGCAGCGAATTGGTTGAATGGTTAAACCACATTTTTAGAAGTTGCAGGCGGCGGTAGTGAGTGGTAAAATTTATATGTACTACAAATGTGTATGGAAATTGTTGTGATTTTTCATATCAGGTAGCGGCTCCACTCCTCTGATTTTTGGAGTGCAGCTGGAACTTGTAGTCAAGTAAAAATCGATCTGTATACTGAACACATGATTTGCTTTTAGACTTGTTTGTTTACTGTATTTAGGCACATGTGTGAAAAATCAAAATATCTGACAGAACCAGTAAAACCACATGAGTCCTCATGTACAATTGTATTTATTTAAGCATTACTCTTTACTTTGTAAAGAACACTACTATTCAAGGAGGTATCATTGTTTCATGACATTATTAGACTTATATGACAAACGACTAGTTTTTATTTCGATATAAAATTAATCTTTGATGTGGAAATTAATGATGAAATCTCATATTTCTTAGATTAAATAAAGTACTTCACATTTGTATTTAATTAGCTTAAAAGTACAGGGTTATCAATTTTCGATAGGTATTTTAGCCAAACTATTATTTCAATAAATTATTTGGAGCTTGTCATTAAGTATTTAAATAGGACTTATTAAAATGTTCTGTATTTTACGGGATATCCTGTGGTTTGTAGCACTGCCCCCGTAAAATCATAAAATTAAAATAAAATATGAAACAAAATTTATAATTATTTGACTGTAGCGATTAAAATTGACGGATTATTTTACATTTTCGTTATTTTAAAAAAGGCGCGGGCCTATCACAATTTTTGACTAAATGTCTTACCATACAGTAACATTTGAAGCTATAATGATCTTTTGATAGTTACTTAATTTTGTTTGTTGAGATATATCTATATGAAGCGAAAATTAAATCTCTTCACAGTAGATAATTTCATGTGTGATGTATCTACTACAACATTGCTGTTTTTTAGAAAATTTTCACAATAGCACTTATTATACGATCGATATTGCAAAATGGAAAACCCTAAACTAAACATATGTCTTATAATATAATGTCATGAATATCAGCTTCTTTTCACATACCACTATCAATAAAGTAATGGTAGCCACGATGTGGATAACTCTTTATGTTTCACACTAATTTTATCATATATATGTACTTGTACTTCAGATTTTTTACAGAAAATAGATTGATGACATCTCTACTAGAAGAAAGTGACTCGAAAATTAAATTCGATATTTAATAAAAAATAAATATAGATATTACTCCTATTAATTTTATCAAATAATGGGCTATGAATGCACCCCGACCTAAGAGATCTATTGTGCGCCTAAAGGCCCAACTAAAACAATTTTAGACTATTTATAAATCTCATAATTACTGTGGGCTTAATTATTTCTATTTAATTTGGGACTAAGATACCGTTTCCAAGGTATTCGAGTCCTTGCCGCCGGTGGACAGTTGCTTAGGATATGTTCTAATGTTTTCTTCTCCTCATTACAGATTCGGCAGGAATCACTCCGACAGAATTACTCCTATCAAATTGGAACAATCGTAGAAACACGCTTAAGTATTTAGATTCCATTGTTAATAGAATATAAATTTAATATCGTAATATCATTAATAGACGAAGCGACACTAATGTCTTAGACTTCAACCTAAAAAATTATAACAATTTTATTCTGACAATCACTGCAAACCATTTGTTGCTATATAGTCAATAATAGTCTATAATAACACCAACTAATAGTTCATGGATAAATACTACTCGCTAAAGTGCGTTTCACTCTTATATTAATACACCATAAATTAAGTTATATTTAATCAACATTTAAATTCCTTCTCGGTTAAATGCGTTCAGAGAGCCTGATTTTTTATTAACTCACTTAACTGTACCTTTTATGTATATATGTATAATACTACAGTACATTTATTATAATTCAGTAATAGCCTATAAATTAATTACACCACATGAACCATTATTCGCGTCTCATATACTTTTCTACCTACTAGTTCATATAAAATAAGTTCATAGTTTAGTTGGATCGAATACCAACTAAGAGAAGTCAAATGCGTATCTTAAGGTTAAAACGTGCCCATATTAACTTTAATAAGAAATTCTTTTGAATTTATTTAATGAAAAATTTAAAATATTTAGAGTGACGTATTTTTCCATTGAGCTTAACCTTAGCTATTCAGTTCATAATTAAGTTTTTAATTACTATTTACTAGTTTAAGATTGTAATTTGAAAATATAGTTCATTTTTTTATATAATAAAACAATTACAATAATGTAATTAATTACTAAGCCATAATAATAACTTTTGTATACAGATATTTACTGAAAATATCCGGTAGTATCTGCAAGTAACTTGGAGTTGATATTGATCTAGAAACGTGATATTGTTATAAAAATTACATATCATGCTTCAAAAGTAAATAGAATACTATATTATTATAATTGAAGAATATTTTAACTTTAATTTGGTTTTTTATAATAAAATTGTTTATTTAAGGGTTTTTTTTTAATTAAACAATTCTTTATAATAAACTATTTAAATGTATTATATTTTAATTTGTATTTTTATTTAAATTGCAATTATATTTTTAATTTTCATCGATTTAGTAATATATTATATATCATAACGAATTCTTTTGAAATGTCAAATGATCTTGTCAAATGACATCGACTGATCTTGTAACGAAATATCTCTTTGTTTATTAGCAACATTTAAAAAAATTCTCAATATCTCAATAATTTGTAATAATTGCAATAATTTCTCTTAAAAAATTTTTTAATTTTTGCATTATAAATATATAATGAATATTTTGTATTCTCAACCACGCGATATCGATTAAGAAAGCCAGGAAAAGGTTTGTGTCATGCAAAATATAATTTATAAAAAATTTTAATTGACTCTTAATGTAGCCATAAGCATTAATATTTTATTGAATACAAAAATTATTTTCAATTTTTTTAGTTTTATATATATGTTATATACTTAACCAATTAAATTATAGCCAAATGTAATTTAATAAAAAAATTCTGTTTAATTCTTCTTGCTTATAAGTAACATGCGATGTTATGAAAAAATCCCATATTGCATTTATCAATCTTGATTTTGTTATTATTACTTCCTACATGAAGTAACTGGTTTACTCAAGGAGTTTGTTATCATTTAATGAAGTTTAAGATACCAAGTAATACTAAAAACTTAAATGAAAAATCCCACTTGTAATTTATTAAATCTAAAATTACTCATGTTTGTTATACATATACTCGTATACCATCATAAGAAGTTGACTCATAAAGGCTGGGGAAATACAAATTTAAAAGGACTTCAAGAATCTACAATTTATTTTAGTTAACTTAAATGTACAGTTTATTTTATTGGTTTTATTTCGCATAAAAACAATAAAAACAATATGAAGGCGATTAGTCATATAGCAAAATAAGGAAAGCATTTATGGAGTGATGTACGGAATCACTACTCGAAATATTTCCTATTGAAATTTAGAAATAATTAGATCTTCTACGTGAAATCAGTCCCATATGACAACAATTTTATCAATAAGAAGAGAATAATTTGGTTCTTGCAAACAAAATTAGTCATAAAATAATATATGGGAATAATCGATAAACAATTGTATAGAATCCACGGACAGAATTTATCCAGTGAGGGAGTTAAACTACTAACAATAAAGAAATATTTTATGTGAAATGGGTCATATATAAAAAAGCATGGGAATAAGCTGTGGACTTTTGTTCAGAATAGGCATAGCTTTTGCAAAATAACTTTTCTTCACTTTTGCTATGAAGGTAGAAACAGAACAAAATACTGTAATAATCTATGGACTAGTATACAGAAAAAGTTGAAAAGTATTTTTCACTGAAACGAGAAATAATTAGAATATAAAATAATATATATAATTAACATAAAAGAATACATTGCTTTAGTTATATTTATAGAATAGAATTGTTATTCAAGCCATTATATCTTCAATTTAAGGTTCACAATTTCGCAATAAGGATCTTCTAAGAACCACTGAATGTGTATTATGTATAATTCATATATAATTTCAATAATGAGGCTCATTGTACGCTTGATGGATACGTCAGTAAAAAAATGGCCGTATCAGAAGCATAAAGAATCTACAATTAACTGTCGAGTGATCATTGCATCAATAAAAAATCAATGCAACATCTGTTAAATTATCGCAGAGTTATTGTCAGCTATGTACTGACAAGTAGTTGACAAAATTTCTCATTATTTGGATGATATTGTATTTTGCACCTAATGGCTCAGTCTGAACCTTAGCTTAGTTGGCCATTACAGATGTGTGTCATCCTTTGCAATAAAGGCTTAGTTTACTTTTGAATAAATTATATTGCAATTTTAAGGTAAAAATGGATAACATTTTTCTTTCGTACTGTATTGTAGATGACCTAGGTGTGTACTTAAAACTCTATTGGTATAGTTTTCAGTTTTATTTAAGGCATATCATGGTTTTATATATTAGATATATACTCATATATGATCCATATTGTCAGAGTAGATTGTAATTTTATATGGTCAGTGACAGTTTAATATTTGGACCTATCTGTCATTAATCAACATAATTTCCATTCCACATTTTTTTTATCATTATTTTATAGTCAAGTAAGTATGTAACTATCACTTTTATAATTCCAATCTATATTTTTTCACACAATATTTGAAGAAAAATACTTTAATGTTGCTTTACCATACCTGGACAATCGTATATCATATTATGATCTATGGTATACAAATTTTAAAATTATATGTAATATGTGTCTCATTCAGTCACCATGGTATTCTATCTTATTTATCAATTTATTAGTATAGTCTTTTTTAGTTGTTCCTAATTTATTAGACCCATAATAAGTTTGTTAAGTTATAATTTGGTTTGGAGTTTCTTTACACCTTGGAAAGTCGGTTTAGAACGTCTTCTCTCTAATTGACAAAAATTGTGTGACAAAAAATGAACATCATTAAATCACATATTGTTACATTGATCTATATTATTTCACTATTTTTGTTAACCGTGAAGATCTAGTGATCGATCATTCACAAAAGTTTATAAAAGTTTTATACATATACCATATATTAAAACATTCATAAAAGAATCATAACAAGAAGTTTAATTCATATAAATTACTCTACCCTAGAGGGTTATACCATGCCACTGAGAGAATATGTAATTTATAATGAAGTGCCTTATTTCTATAAATACTTTACAATATTATTAAATATAAAGATAATATCTTAATACGTACCGAATGAAGATCAAAATACTTGCAAGTCATTTTATTTATTTACATTTTTATTTACTTATTCCGACTTTTTTAACAAGCTAAGAAAATATTAATAAATTAAAAAGAATCTTAGATAAAAAAATTTAACAAAAAAAAATATTAATATAAAATTACAAAAATAAATAATATTAAATAAAAATACGTATATTGATAGGCCATATGCAAAAAAGACTGGAAGACATGAACAAAACAAAAGATAAAACAGCGAATAATTTTCGTATCGAACTGCTCATCCAAAACTGTGGAGATAATAATTTATGGGAATTCTCTCTACAAAGAGAAACTATAGTTAATATTATATATGCTCGTATTATGTAGTATTGTATCTCTAACAATTTGAAATGTTCACGCCATAAGCAAAGTATATGGAAAGAGATTCCAAGTTAGTGCCAGGGAAGGTCTCGACGAAGAAAAACGTGAAGAGATGGTTATTTTGTGTTGTTGAAGCAAAAATAAATAGCAACTTTAATCAAGCAAAGTTAAAAAGTAAAGCAAATAAAAGATAAAAATGAATACAATCGCAAGTTTTCATAATATCTGTCGTAAGTTGTACATCGTCGCTGGGAAAAAACAATCGCAAGAAGCAGTATGGGCTTGTGTAAATGCCAGTCAGCCAAAAAGAAACTGTGCAGCCAAAATCAACAATAATGAACCAATAGCAGATACCAGCACCTCGGCTTATTCTCCAACAGTCACTGACTTCCACCCACTCAAGGGCATTCGTATACTTGACTTAACACGTATTATTGCTGGTCCCTATTGCACAATGGTACTGGCCGATATGGGCGCTGAAGTGTTAAAAATTGAACGTCCATACTTTGGTGGCGATGAGGCACGTAAGTGGGGTCCACCATTTTTAAAAGTAAGTAAAGATGCAACCTACTTTCTCGCACAGAATCGAAATAAGAAAAGCGTTTGCTTAGATTTAAAAGAAGGTAAAGATGTAATTTATGAGTTAGCGCAAGTTTGTGATGTGCTAGTGGAGAACTATGTACCTGGTAAATTAAACGAATATGGCTTGGGTTATGAGCAATTGCATGCAATTGCACCACATTTGATTTATTGTTCCTTAACTGGCTATGGTTCAGTTGGACCTTATGCGCAAAGACCAGGCTATGATGTGATTGCGGCCTCTATGGGCGGTCTGCTGCATATAACTGGAGAACGTAATGGACCACCAAGTAAAGTTGGAGTAGCAGTTACAGATATTGCGACAGGTTTATATGCACATGGTGCCATTTTGGCAGCTTTACTACAACGTCAACGCACTGGACGTGGACAGAAAATTGATGTCAATCTATTTTCTACACAAGTATCGCTATTAATTAATGTAGCGAGCAATTATCTAAATGCTGATTTAGAAGCACAGCGTTGGGGTACAGCACATTCTAGTATTGTGCCTTATCAAAGTTTCAAGACGGCGGATGGTTATCTTACACTCGGTGCTGGCAGTGATGCACAGTTTAACGAACTTTGCTCTATGCTTGATATTAATGAAATTGCTGAGCATGAAAAATTCAAAACAAATAAAGATCGTGTGAAAAATCGTGAAGAATTGGTTACTCTTTTGACAAATTTACTGAGTAAAAATACTTCAAAACATTGGATGCAATGTTTCGAAGGTGCTTCATTTCCAGTTGGGCCAGTAAATAGCATACGTGAGGTTTTCGAAGACGAGCATATTAAAGGTATTGATTTAGTTAAAACTTTACCTCATGCGAAAGATGGTCAAGTGAGAGTTGTAGGTCCACCGGTCGTATTTAGTGAAGCTAAGAATGACGCACGTACGGCTCCACCCGTACTCGGAGAACACACAGATGAAGTGTTGAAAACAATATTGGGTTATAATGAAGAGAAAATGGAAGCATTAAGATTTAAAAAAATTATACAATAATAAGAATTTATTATTGCTATTCATATATATATATATATTTATTTTTAAACAAAACATCTTAATTTTCATATATATTTTATACATATAGTAAAGACTATTTATTAAAGAAAATTGGTATATGTATAAATAGGTATCCAATAAAATTAAGAAATATAAAATTAAATTTAGAAATTATGTTTTTTTTGCCCTTAAACAAAATGTATGGAATTATAAGCAGCGATAAGAAAAATATTCTATCATTTTAGGGAATAAATTAAAGAAATAAATAATACTATAGACATTATCTTAATGATACATGCTTATGTAAAATTTAAATAATAAAATGTTTATAAGTCTATGATCAAACAATAGAACTCCAATACTGTATATTTATATATAAGATATTCTTTACATTTCTATATAGCATATATGTATATGTATATATACATATGGTATATGGTATATATGGTATATGGTATATGTTTAGTCAGGCTGGAACAGAACTCTTTCTGGTTTTTGGGTTTTACGACGTGTTCTTGAGAATCTTTCGAAAAAACATAAATTCATAAAATCATCCACTTGTTAAATCTTATTGCAGTGTGTTTCTCGTAGAACTATTCGCTATTAGAAAATAGGTTGAATTTTTTTTTGAGAAAATAACTAACTGCAAAATAAACTTCTGTGTTGACAGCTAAGCTATTATAAAACAAATATTTTCATATTGGGCATCTTGGACATCTTGCTTCTGTATTACGAAGAGATAATTGATAGATTGGCCCATAGACGTGAACTATGTGTATATTGGGTTCCTGGCTATAATATTGCTAAAATTAGTTGTAACCTTGCAGTGATACTTAGGCTTTTGTTGAATGTATACAGAAAATTAAACTAGTACATGTTCAAAAAGATGAAGGACAGGAGACTTAACTTAGTCAACGACATCATATACAATCACATATTCAATGAAAAATATACTAAATCAGTGTTGTCGATGTAATCAAAAAAACTGTAGAGTACTGGTTGCTATTTCAATAGATCATTAACATTCGCATGAGGTAAACATTACCAGCAATAATGCATGCAGGAAATGTGAAGAACCGAGCAATAAGGAAATTCCGAAGCTTTATCTCTATTTCTTTCCGACTCTCTTGGAAACATGCAAAAAATTCTTTAAAGCTACCAGTTTTAAGAGAA